AGTATCCATAAATATAACGATTTCTAATACTTGTGTACCATCAAAAGTATTTGATAATTTGAAAAAGCCGTTGAAAAAACGAAATACCGCCTTTTCCGTCGTATTTCATTTAATGCCGATGTTGGCTTTTTTGTTGGCATTTTCGTGTTGGTTTTATTACGCACAACGAGCCGGCCCATGTATTGTTATTTGTAATTACATAATTAACTAACAGTCATCAAATTATTTTGAAAAGTGGAGCTGAAATGATATGATCGTATTAGCTAAATTTCACACATGTTAGCGTCTAACATTACCTTTATAGCAATGTTAGGTTCTAAAAGGGCACTAGAAATGTCATAGATAAGAAAAGGAGCAATAACCATGCACTTTGAAGGCATATGCGGTCTGAAAATAGAACTCAACTATCCCTTTAATACTGCCTATAGTAGGTCTGAATTTAAAAGGTATTATAGGAGGCAAAAACGAAGTAGTATAGCAAAGATTCTAGAGACGTACAAGGAGAGTGAATTTGAGAAGAAAAGAAAAAATAGAATGAAGAGTAAAGAAAATAATATGATAATGATAAGAAGGAGAAGGTGAAGAAGGGAAGAAAGAAGAAGAAGAGGAAGACAAAAAATGAGTGGAAGAAGAAGAGGCAGTAGAAGAAGAGAAAACAAATTGATGTAATCAATGGCATTGTAAAATAACAAAAACAAAGTCTGTATAGAGTATAGGAGCTGTGACATCATACAAATCAATTTTTAAAATTTCTCAATTTTGTCTTCACTTTCCAAAAGAGCATAAAAAATAATGTCCGGATGTCGATAACCAATTGAATATATTAAGTGTTGGCTGAGATATCCTATGTTAACTCAGTGTTATAGTGCTCTGGTTCATATCACTGGGAACAAGAGCACTATAACACTGAGTAAGTAAGTAAGCAAACAGGGAACCGACGACTTTAAATCCCCTCCGAGGGACTAGGTAAGGAAACTAATACATTGCAATAGAACCCGGGACTTCCCGATTACGAGAACACTGCGCTTCCTCAATTAAAGGAGAAATTGAGGAAAAAGTAGAAGTATAACGTGTAACGTGTACGTGTTCACACGGTATACAATACAAATCGTACCACACACAAAGGAATTATATTCAATACAATTAATTTCGATTTAAATGATTTCATTTCTATAACTCAATCAGAACAAGGAAAAAATGCTTCAAAAAAAATGATTATCAAATGACATTTGTAACAAGGCAAAGAAAATTAAACTTACTTGTAATTATATACAATCTTAAATGTCGACAAGTAATCAAATTATTTTAAGGATACAAATTATGTTAGCGTATCATGAAGGAAGTTAAGGTTAAAGCCCCACTGCACTAGATATAGCTAATTGCGCCCTCTATATAGTAAACAATGCCTAATCGGTGACCATTGATCCCCATGATCCTCTCTTAATTATGTTAATTGAGAGCTGAATTGATGAGTTAATCATCTGTCCAGTGACCTTGCAGGGTGGTCTAATCTCTCCTGTAAACTAGTAGAAATGAGCTTTAAATGGAAATGAGAAAATATACTAAAAAACATAACATATATTTATATGGACTACTCAAGTAAGGAAAAAAAAGTAAGGAAGGAAGAAATAAGTGGTCTAAAAAAAGAAGTAAAAAGGAAAACCTAATAAAAAAATGTTAGTTCATACGATTAGTTACTATGAAGTTAATTATAATTAATATCAGCTTGGGTATATTTTATAAGTAAAAATAATTTTGTTAGGCTTTATACGATGATAACAGGTACCGTTTTAATCATGATTTTAATGTCGTAATACGGATAAGACAGCAATAAAGAACTTGAGAGCAGCTTGATGGTAGGTTGGGTGATGAGTCCATTTATTTGTAGATCATCAGCATATATCAGCGGTAAAAGAAAACCCTGCAAATCAATCAGATGTGCCAAACACAAGTACAAGACAAGTATAGATTCTTAACAACATATAACTGATAGTATACAACAATGTGGGCGAACAGACAGTAAATTATCACACTGTTGGTGTACAGTATTACATAAACTGTGGCATTAACGTAGTCTACATCAAGGATAATATAATAATTAAGACAATATCATTGTCTTTAATTAACACATATTATATGAAAGTGCATATTCAAAATGCATTAATAAACAACATTACACCAATTATACAATGTATGTATTAAATCATAACGCATTATAATTCCTACCCAAGGTCTCTGAAGATACAAGCCGGAGCAGCTCCCGGCTCCCAAAAGACAACACAGTCCCAGCTAGACCACACCATGACAGCTTCCAGCAAACCTCGCTAGCATGTCATCTATAACAAATCACTAAAACATCCTTATAGTATACTAATAACATATTACATAAAATAACCCACCAATTAAATTATCATACAAAGATTCAATGGGCGCCGCCATCTTTATCACAATATTAACATCATTCGCCCTCAACGGCGAAATCATAACAATCACTAATTCACGCACTAAATACAGGTAGGCGTTAACCACTGACCATTTAAATGACAATTTCTTTAAACATCATATAGAATAAATTTAATAACATTTATTTAAACGATCAATGTAATTTGATTAACTGGATTCCATATCCCTATGAAGACACACTATTCGGACTAACGGAAGTTGTCAAGTACAAAATCAAATACATTCCTCTTCCAAAATAATCATTATTTTCCTCTCCTGAAGGACATAAAAACATTTCATAGACATGTATCAAAGCGTTCAATCTTTACTATCAAACTGACATTTAAAGAAAGCAACTTACTTCTTCCAAAGGTGTAAAAAGAAACAAGGGCGCTGCACGCTAAATAGACGGCCCGACACACGCATAACCTCCTTCGCCCATGACAAGATACAATGTGTACCTACGTATCTGCTATGTCAGGCAGATTCCTGCGCCCACATATAAAGACCTATCACAATTCTATAAACAAAATATCCTTCCTCTTTTTGCTATTCTTGTACAAACACCTTTTGAATGAAGTAAAAATTAGTTTTTACACATTATATGCAATCTTATTCCTTTTTTACATAAACTCACAATATAAAAATTCTTCCTTAAGATAACAAAACAAACTTATAAATCGAGGAACTACATTTCATTCACCGTATTTTTAACAACAGTTTTATGCAAATTTGACAAAGTCATTTGCATAAGAAAAAACACGTATAAATCCAATTTCCTACATTAATGACATGTATATATTCATTAGCAAGAGCCAGAATAAATAGGAGTAGAAAGTGATGAGAGTAGAATGGGTGAGGAGGAAAGTGAAATAAGAGGATTGAGACAAAGAAGTAGTGAGTAGGAATAGATGCGTCTACAATATAATATAACAATAATAATAATGAACGTTACTTGTTTATAGCGCATATCACTCACACACACTCACGCACATAAAGTACAAATAAAGTACCTATCCGATTAGGACAAAAGGGAAACAGAGATAGGACAGCATAGAAATGAACAATCGTGCCTGATACATGAAAATAATTAATAACCAACAACAAGTATGATTCATAATCCCTATATAGCAGACATGTTATATATTGTACATTCAGGCAGTACAATTGTTTTAATAATGAAAATTAAAATAAATATGTACATGATACTATAACCAAAGAAATCACTAGAAGTCTTTTAATAACTCTGTTTGCTTGCCTGTTTCATATGCATGAATTCTCACAAAGTTATAGTACATAGTACATAATATCTACGAGACAACAAAGGGGTATATACATAATGAGTTATGATTAGTGCATATCAAACATAACAAGTATTGTGCTAATATTAGGAGAGAATTTAAGAAAACAATACGCGTATATCCTTTAAAAGAAAAACTTCAAACGACTGAGAAAAGGTACAATGTATTCAATTATAAGATGTGCGTATTCATGCATCTAAGCATTCACGTACCATAATGTAAGAAGAAACAAATCTCATTTCAAGACAGAGTATTTCACTGGCACTGCGTCATATTTACGTATACTGCCGTCTGCTGCTTAAGGTATTCCAACGTGTCGACAGTCATGTTCCACAATGCAACACAGATGTATGCATACCCAGGAGCCGCGTGATGTGATTATAATTGGGAACAGGGACCAGAAATCGCTCTATGTACGCCCTCACCATACATTACAGCAGTGGTAGACCAATGAAAAGTCGCTAAAATACACTGCCTTTAATTGTCTTTATTATATAGAACGCCTTGGCATTAGAAGATTTATGCTAGGAATTCTGAAATTGAATTACGGAACGTTTAGACAACAAACAGCCCTTGTAATATGACCCTCCCTTGGATCAACTTAACTGAAAGTAATTAACAAAGAACTTCTTAATTCGGGCTGTGAGCCATTCCCCTCCCCCTCCCAAGATATAATATATATATTATTGACACATTCGATAATATTTAAGGTAATTCCATTGGTATATTACGTCAACTTTCGAAATGTACGAAGATGACAATGGCGTATTTCGTAATCACAACATGATTTATATGGAACGTAATATTATAGATTATTGCAATTAACAATGAGTTGATTTTGTCGAGGCCCTTTTCCAAGATTTTTTTAATCAATAACATATTACAATGACTGTTACAAGTTTGATTGGTTGAGAGCAAATTAAGCAATTTAGCTTGACGACGGCACAGCTAGATTGTTTGACATTTACATTAGCAGAAACGGGTTAGTAGAGAACGAGGAGGCACAGGGAACCTATAAGGGGGTGAGGGAGGGGGGTGGTGTCATTCTGTGAATAGAATGCGAACAAACAAGACCATCAATAAATGGGAGGGTCTATAAAGGGGTAGAGTCATCATATTTTACTTTCTTCCCTTCTTTCTATTTATGTTCAGTTTCCTTTCCTCTGTAGCAAATAGATGGAGGGGGTTGAAGATTTACAGAAAAGCTTTTATTGTAGAATTCTGATTTCTACGAATGTCGGTGTACCGGTACTTCCCTTATAGGTTGACCTGACAAACAGTGCTAGGTTGATACGCATCCTGATGCGTACAAACGCGGTTGTGCATTGAACCGTTGTCCGTCCACAGCATCGCACACTTATATTTATTACTGGTCCTTGGTAGATTTGGTGCCCAATCTATAAGAAAGCATACAATAAGGTGTTGCTACCCAGTAGGATACAGTTAGTCATTCTATATGCTTAGCATTGTAATCGTATGTAAAATGGCACCTCCGTGAAATGTTCCCCGGGGAGTGGGAATGTTTGTGAGCAATCCTGAATCTATTGACCGAGTGACAATATTTATTCTGTAAACAGAGATCATCATAATTGTTATCATCTTCCACATCATCAATTTCATCATAATCATTCATCATCGTCTTCAATATTATTATTATCATTGTTATCATGTTTATTATTATTATCGTCATTATCATTATTACTATTTGTATCATTGTTAGCATTATTCATGTTATTACTATCATTAATACTATTATTATTATTATTATTATTATTATTATTATTATTATTAGGTGGTCTGTCGATGACAGATCACCTATTGATTTCGTTAGAATTTTCTTTCTTTATTTATTTATTTATTCTTTATTTATTTTTATTTCTTCCGTACACTTTTTTGTACACACGTTCACTCGAAATCGACATGGTCAATTTCCTTCAAATTTCTGTCAATTATCAAGCCCTATGATTTCAAGTCAAATCAACTTTTTCAAGGTCATTAGGTCATCGTGACGTCATCCATTTTGTAAAAATCAGGTCATTATCATATCTCGATAACGAGTCATCAAAAATCAACCATATTTATTATACATCAACTTCAGGTCAAAGGTCAACTAAAAATTTCAACAAATTCCGCGCGCGCACCTCGACGCGCACGTACGCGCGCATTAAAATTTTAAAATGCTCAAATTCGTTCCAAATTAATTTTGCATACGTTTCAGGCCATTTTAAGCGTTTTGCAAAAAAAACGCGCGCACGGACATGCGCGCGCGTTTTCGCGCGTAATTGCATCTTCCAACATAGAATCGCCAAATTTTTTCTGTCATCATATTTGGCACATTTTTTCAAGCATTTTGATACCTTGTTCAATTTTTCTGCCCATTAATAACGGAATGAGCGTCCGTTTAAGATAATTACCGTGCGCGCGAGCTTTTGTAATACATAGCATACATGGGCAAAAACATGCCTATACAAAATACATTGTAGCGCTTTAGGATGCAAGGTGACCCCAAGTTTTTTTCCATATTTTGATAGAGTATGAATCGGAGATATGATTTCATGTTTCATTTGACCCTCAATTAAGTCATGACGTCATCATAATGGCCTCCGAACTCAAAATTTCAATTTTCATATTATGACGTCAGCAGATTTTTGGAAAATTGATTGTATCTCTGCAAATGTTAATCAATTTTCTTTCAAATTTTGATATGTTCTACCTTAGAATATTCTCTACAAATGCAGTCAACACGATATTTCATTTTGACAAAGGCATCATGGCGTATTTTTGCGATTAAAGGAGGCATGTCATTTTTTCACATTTTGCGTGTATTCTCTATGGGACATGACTTTTTCTCAAAACTGGATTCTACATTTTCGTCTTTCGCGAGCAATATCTCCGTCGTTTTATCTTTGTTTACGCTGAGCTTTGAGTATGTTGTAGCTGAGACAATAAGCTATCACAAGTGTGCCCTTTATTTTTCGATCAGATGCCGAGATCATGCTCATATTTCACTTGCAACGTGGGATTTGAGAATTCCATTTCTCGTTTACGTTTAATCGCTATGGGAAATGTTTTGGTATATCGGTAACGCACTTTACTTCGAACCTCGAGATCCCTGGTTCGAGTCCGGGAGTCTCCAACAATTTTTTTTCTTCATTTTTTTTTCTTTTTTGACTTTTCAATGATCATAAAATTGAAAACAGACCACCTAATTCGTCCCCATGACGAATTAAATTTCTAGTTATTATTATTATTATTATTATTCTATCATCATTAGCCATTCGTGGTAATCACATCGATATCATCCCACATTGAGCTGACATCAGCTTATTTATTATCAGAATATGTCCCTTGCACATAATTGGCAATATGATTGTGTTTTCTATTCGTTTTAAATATCGAAAACTATATATATAGCTGACAATCTAATAAAGTGTAATTTAACTAGACAAAGAAAATAAATGTATCGAACTACATACACATTTTGGTCCAAATCTTTTATGCTATCTCTATTTTTTATATGAGAGCTTCAAGATGGCAATCCTTTTCATTGGACACTCCTATAATTACCTCCAAAAAAGTCATTTAAAAGAAAACAAATGTGAAGAAAAATATTCTTCATCTTTACCAGAACTCAACGTGCTCTTTCTGCATAGCCCAGTGGTATAAGCAGTGGTCTCGTAACCCGGAAATCATAGGTTCAAAACCAAGTCAATGTTGTTGTTTGCTGTTGTTGTCCTGTGGTAAGGCATTTATCCTTATTACAAAATCCTTTAGTGGGAACTTGAAATCGCCAGTTCACTGGCTGCTTATTTAAGTGATGTTTTAACCAGTCTTTACTTCAGAAAGGGATATTAAAGGTAAAAATTCTTTGTAGATTTTTGTGAATTCGGTATATAAACAATGTTTTAAGATTCGAGGCATATTTGTTTGTATAGGCTCTCGGGGTGATAGTATACAAATATTGACTGCTCATGAGGATGATGGTGGGAATTATCACTCCCAAGGTGCTGCCCTTCTATCACCCCCGAGGCGAAGCCGAGGGGGTGATAGAGTGGCCGGTATGAACACCACCGAGGAAGTGATAATTTCCTCCACCATTCGATTACAGAGCAGTCCATATTTGTTGTATATACCTCATCCGTTCGAAAATAGACGTATTCATCAATAACTTCAAGTTCTACAATATCATCATCTAGGTCTATGTGAATTTTTCGAACTTTACCACGAGAAAATACAACAACTTTGGTTTTAGCTGCGTTGACATGAAGAAACCATTTTGAGCTAGAGCGCCCTAACAACGCGTGATTTGCGCGCTGGGGGGAATCTTGTACGCTGTGTGTGTGTGAAAAAGTTGCGCATGGGTTAGCAGTTCTATTAGGGTTTGATAGAACGACGCAATGATAGATCGAAATGCTCCTTGTCATGTAATATAGTCTTGACCAATCAGTGAATGACAATCTTTGTATCAGGTATATAATAGGATGAAACGTCCCCTTGAGCTTTTAAAAACAACTATCCCTCTCATAGCAGTCATTGTATCTATATTATTGCCTTCACATATGGGGCACTATTGCTTCAACTTGGTTCTAAACCGGCACCTCTCGGTTACGAGACCACTGCTGTAATATTGAACCATCGCGCCTCCTCGTTTACATATACATATCAATTATTTCTTAGCAGTCAGGTAAAAACGAGCCATCAAAAAAGCAACAACTTACTTCGGTAGTCACTTTTGGTCCCTGCTCTGTCTGTGTAACACTTCCATGTATTGACATACTTGCAGTTTATCCAGCTCCTGAGTTCATTCAGGTGAGGCTTCAGCAAATCGTATTCTTCCACATTCTCTATGAAGAGCAGAGAAGGCTCAACCATTTCCCCGTTGCCCATGGTAACTGCATCCAGACCATTACAGTAGTCACGAGCAGTCGTCCAAGCAGCGTCCGGGAGTGAGTTCACGATCAGGAAACACTTTGTGTGCCCATACACCCAACCGACTGGGCAGACTGTGATCGTAAAGTAGAAAAGCACGACAACAGTTAAACTCCCCATAGTCGGTTCAAAAACGCTGTTTTTTTCTTCGTGCATTTTTGTCTATTTTATGCATTCTAGATGTCCCCAAAATATTGCCTTATTACACACATTGGTAACAATGAAATGATTGTATAAGTTTCATATAAAGAAAGCATTTCTTTTGCTGTTTATCTCTTGTTTCGTATTGTCTTTTCCTGTTTTTAAGCAGTATGTATTTATTTGCTGTAACGTGATTTAAAACGTATTTTCAATCACTAACCTGTATAATCATTTTTTTTTCTCGACCAACCGAACATTAGAAACTTTTTCCTTTTATTTTGGCTGCTGAATTCTTCAGCATAATTTATTTATCTATAGCTACTGCTAGCTTGCTAGGTGGCTTGTCAGTTCCAAAGCAACAAAAAATGGCGATCAAGGCATTTTCTCCACTTCTGTCTCCGGTTCTTCGAAATGTGACGTTACCTCTGTTACTAGTCAGCCGATTGAATGTATCCATGTATTTGATGTGCTTTCTCCCTCCGTCACTTTCCCTCAATTAGTCAGGCTCCTATCCTGTTTGCTGTGCATTCTCATCTCATAATATGCCCCAAAAAATTAAGTTGTCTTTTTCGAATGAGGTTAAGAAGGGATCTATAGCACATGCCTTATTGAGGACTTCATCGTTTGATTTTCCTTGGAGTTGTTTCATTTCCCAAACCATGACAGGAAAATCTGTAATGTTGGACGACACTTTCATGACATATGCTTTTGAGTCCCATGCACACGTTTCTGTATCAAAGGTATGAGTACAGTACATGTGATTTTTGAGCAAGACCATGCCAACTCTTGTAATCTTTTAACACTATAAATACTCACAGTATACAACATTATTGTTATGCGAATCAACTCTTCCAGGTACATTCAGAGGATGTCAAAGTTAAATTAGCATGCAATGTCAAAGGTCTACGTAAAAATGATCACACATACTTTCGAACACGACATTTCAATGGTCCTTTCCATCGGCTATTAAAATGTCCGAATTAAATTACGATCACGTCTTTTTTAATCCGAATATGACGTCCATGTGGCATGTAATGAAGGCATTTAAATTACCCTTGAGCAGATTTCTCGAAAGTGTTTGCAAACTAGTTCACGGTAATAACATTTTCAAAATGAAAGGGACTACACCAAGGGGACCATAAGTGAGAGAGACCGAAATATTGTGTGAATCCTTTTAATAAATCTTCCAGAAAAACGTCCACAAAGCCGAAACACAGTAATAAAAAAAATAACAAAATAACAAAAAAGAAATAACAAAACCAATTCAAATCCACACACTCATACACACACATGCTCGCACACACACACCCACATACACTGAAACTGCTATCGCAATATTTACATGTTGGGAGATTATTCGACAGTTAGAGTCGAGTCCACGCAAAACAGAGAGCTTCCTAAATAACTTACCAAGCTGCTCGCAATGTATTCCGATGTATCCTCCGAGGCAGGAGCAGCTATACCCATCAAGCTCTTCAACGCAAGTCGCTCCGTTAAGACAAGGATGGGAGTAACATGCTTTAAGAAACAGAAATCATGTGTTCAGGGTCAAACAGCACAATACACACTGTTGGTTATAAAGTTGGAATACCTTGCTCTTTTGGTGAAGTGCCTGTGATAATAGGGTTTATTCTGGATAGTAAGCAAATAACTACCGTTGGTGAAGGTGATGGGACAAACTTTCACTTCCGAGGCGATCTGGATGTAGCTATCTTTCCGAAGCGAAGCTGAGGAAAGATAGCGTATACATTCTGATCGACGAGGAAGTGATAGTTTGCCATTGCCTGAAACCAAAAGGTGATTATTTGCTTTATATTCCACATCCAAAACAATTTAACTACAAAAAGAAAAGACACCAGGCCCAAATTCACACCAAAAAAGGTTAACCCAACCCCTTGAGGGTACAGTGCGCGTATGTGTTTGCTTTTAATAATTATTGCGCTCATTGGTAATGCTCGCTTAATTACGCCTGTTTAAGTGCGCTTTTGGATAATCTTCAGTGAAAGTGCGTTGCCCTGTGTAGATAGTAGTACTATCTACATAGTGACAAGAACTGTTTGCTTCTCCCATCAATAATGGGCGAACTATCTTTCATCACGTGATTTACTTTTGACAAATCGTAGAGCAAGATTCTTAATATGTGGAATATAAATAAGTTTATATAATTTCAGTACTTTAATTAACTAATTACTATGAACTTTTGTATTGATCGATGAAGTACTGAAAATGTATTAACTTTTGTTGATAAAGAATAAACCACATTCAAACAATTCTTTAAATAAAAGAGGTAAAATAACAAAAAGTATTCCTACCTAATGGGCAACAAACAATATTACACTTGCTCGTAAATCTAAACTGTACAACCATCGGCGTAGATACGGAGGGGGCACTTGCCGCCCCCAACAAATGGCCACAAATAGAGGTGAGAGCGAGGGGAGAGATGAGATAATATAGAAACAAAGATTGTTCGAAACTCTTTTTAAAAGTTGTAATATTATATAAATTAGTAATTTGTGGAAATATTCTGCCCGAATACAGGCATGATTCGGTCAACATGGCGCCAAAATATCACTTATTAAATATTCTATTTGTATATCTAAATGAAATTTGTAGCACAAAAAAGGGCTTTTACTAAACACGGCGCGCTGGAAAACACTCGGGTCGCGGCTCGCTGGGCCAATTTTGTTGTAATGGTGTCTTCAAACCGGCTTTATAAGGGAGAACATTTTTGAAAGAATAGATTTGAGATTATCGACACTATTTTTTCCACTCTTTTCTTTTTCTCTTTATCACTGTTAAATCTGGCCAAGGAATCATTTCAATTCCTTTCTATTAATACATTTTCCTTTGTATTCCTTTCTTGGTAGTTCTTAATTTCCCACAATTCATCTTCTCACTCTTTCCTTTCTTCCCTTTTTCCATCCTATTACTAGGCCTATCATATTCCCTTGTAGTATCACCTAAATTTCCTAAAATCCACTGTATCCACATAGTATGTTGTCTTTCCTAATGTCAGCCTTAACTCTTGTCTTCTTATTTTTCTATTATTACAAAAACAATCGCAACTTCCAATTCCTATTTTAAATAAATTTCCCCACGCAACCCAATTGAAAAAACAGTCGCTAATTTAATATAACATTTTCCCACCGTGTAGGATCGATTTGAAGACACCATAAAACCAAAAAATAGCCTAGCGAGCCGTGACCCGAGTATTTAGTAAAAGCCCCAAAAGGTATCTTTTCCCCAATCGTTCGCTTCACTTCTCGCAAAATTCATGAATCAAAATGATTCTTGACAAAAAAAATATAAAATATTATTGTACATTTAATGTCGAATATAATGATGACTAAGTTACATTTTTGCAATAGTAAAAGTGCATTTTTGTTTACTCGCTCGCTTTGCTCCCTTGCATTATAGGATCCGGATAGTATTTAGGGGGGGGGGGGTAAGAGGCCTTCACACCTCTCACGTGAAAACGTGTCCATACATCCATGTGTACAAGGGATGGACAAAATTATCGTTAATGAATATGGATTGGGGTGACGAGAAGCGATTTAACTAATAAAAGGGAGCTGTGACTTAAAGATAGGGTTTGAAGAAAAATATCTGGTGTACTAATGACTGATCCCCCCCCCCTTCCCCCATGGCGGTGCCCACGCTACGCCACTGTGTACACAGATGTCATCATCAACAACAACAACATCAACAAAAATAAAAAATTGTCATATATCCAGGACCATTTTTTCACTAAGGTCTTGACGGACTTGACAGTATTTGATAACAAATTATATTTAAAAGTGAAAGAAAGAAAGTGCGGGGTGGGAGGGAGGGGTAATTGATTGAGTGATAGAGAGAGTGAGAGAGTGAGAGAGAGAGAGAGGGAGAGTGTGATAATGATGTAGGTACCAGGAGGGAGGGAGAGAAGGAGAGAAGGGAAGAGATGGAATTGTTAATGTGTCATACCTGGATGAGCGCAGTACAAGTTCATTTTGTCCCTCGCTTCTTTTGGTGTTCTGGCGTCATATTCAGGGTGATCACGTGTTAGATACTTGGGAACAAACTTGACCGATTCCCCAGTATATTCGGAGATACCATAAGGACAGATGTCCATGGGTATCTCAGGGCAAGTACCGTCACCTAAAATGCCTGTTTATTTAGCGTATGATAAAGGGTAGGAAGAAGATTGAGAAGAAAAAGGAAGAAAAATAAAGCAGGACAAAAAGAAGAAAAAATAGTAGAAGAAGAAGCAGTAGCAGAAGACTTGAAGAAGGAGAGAAAGAAGAAAGAAAAAAGAAGAAAGAGTAGAAGAACAAGATGTACAAATATATCAAAAGGAACAAATAGGAGGAGAAAATAAGGAAAAAATAGATACAAATAATCATTATACGTATTTGTTTCTGTTTACTTTTTTACATTTTGCCACTCAATACGCTTCAATGAAATATACTACTACTAATAAAACAAAAGCACTCACACAAAATAGTATAAGACATTGAATCTAAATTGCTTCCTAGTAGCGATGTGTGAAAATAAGAGAAGGAGAAGAAAAATAATAAGAAGAAGGAGAATAAAATATTGTACATGTTTGTGTAGATTATGACGTAAGGGTGACAAAATACGATGCTTTCACTTGTTCGATGAAAATCAATGAGTTTGCAATTACTTTAATGAATGTTATGAATTTATTTCAATTGGCATTGACAGGTGATGAATTAAATAAGATTTAATGAAATATGAAGAGTACAACGCGAGCAATGAGGTAAAATTTTAATAATTTTCGGTTGCAATCTCTCAAAATACAAAAGATCGCACTGATTTTAAAAAATGAATGAGCTAGCTACGTAACAGAAGCGTAGCAATCGTTTGAAGAGGGATGAAACTGTATTGAATAGTGATATAAAAACGATGGGGGAGAGAGAAAGGAAGAGATGAGGTGATCCAATTCTGTGTTCAGTGTTGTTTACTACATGCGATTTTCAGCAAGGTGTATTAGTTTGGATGATTTCAAACCCTCAAAACAAGTCCGGTTCTGGAATTTTAGTTGTTCTGTTGCTGCCTCAAAACGCACAATTTGTTGAATTCATACTCATATTTTGTTGTAATACCTATATTTATTTTGGGTGTCAATCTCCGGGGATGCTCAAGGCGCCTACAGAGTTCTATTATTACCCTGTCTCTACCACAGCTGCCCTAAGGCACTCAAGGAATTCAAGAAATCGATTCCTACCAGGTACCTGTTTACTATACACCTGGGTTGAAGAGTGCTAACTATAGATAACTGTGTTTCTAAAACACATTAGTGCAGCAGCGGGACTCGGACCGCGAACCATGTGATCCTCTAGACGATTCTAGACCACGGCACCTCTCATTACCCCTCTATTGATTCTTTCACGTCACGTGTTGAATACTGGGGAACAAACTTGATTGATTCCCCAGTATACTTAGAGGTTCCTTAATTTCAGTGCAGATATCTCGTGGTAGGCCTACTCTAGAACATGTTCCACTGCCGAAGACACCTGTTTGTTTAGCGTCAAATAAAGAAGGGGAAGAAGCATAATAGGCAGAAAAAATAGAAACAATGAGAAGGAGAATGTAGTAGTGGTAGAAGTAGTAGTAGTAGTAGAAGAAGAATAAGTAGTAGAATATTAAGAAGAAGAAGAGAAGAAAAAGGATGATGGTAACGTTTTCTATCGTTATGCGCTTAAATTCTTCAATATATGATGAAAAGAAGCGACAAAATCAACGTTTTTGTCATAAATAAGAAGTTTCTGGACAACCAATTTTGATATCAGAATCCCTTGTATATTCAGATGCATTCGTGCTCTCATTGGAATGAAACACGTTTACGGTAGTTCTTAAGCGGAAATGCGCGCCGTTGTACGCTCATTGCGCTAGATGACAAGCGCATGTAGATCAACTATCGACCTTTCAATGCGTGTCATTTTAATTGACTCAGTAGTATATGCTCTGGCACGCTCCTAACCATTATGAGCCATAGCATATAACACTGAGTTCCTATAGGAATTATATTTATTCAGATGGTCATATCTCAGCCAATACTTAAATAACATATTCAATTGGTTTTCGACGTTTGGATATTATTTTTTAATGCTCTTTTGGAAAATGAAAAACAAATAGATAGATTGTTGATGACGTCATACTTTACCACTCTATAGTGCCATTTACGGGATGTTCGGTATTAAAGATAAAGGTGAGTTCTCGTCATGCGATTGCTTTGTGAAAGACAAGATGTGGAATGGATCACAAAAAATGATCATCTAGCATATAAGTATTGGTGTGTACTGCAAGGTTCTGGAGTCATCTAACTCATAATAAATTTGACCCAGTTTTGGTAAAGTAACAAGCACTGTACACAGAAAGATGTATATATGGGACTACACAAATGGTGTCGGGGCTAGCTTACCTTAATTTCCATATCTTTCTTTGCTCAATACTCAGCCAGTATACATTTTCTTCCAATTTTTTTTGGCACAAGATATTATTTGTAATCTTGAACATTCAGTGTAAGTTTCGTTTGTTTTTGTGAGAATTAATTTCCTTTTTTTTTTTTTTTTACCAGAACTCAAGTTTATCTTTATGAGGTGTCATGTATTAGGTCAAGTGACCAATATCACACAACTAGAATACCTATGACTTTAAAAAAAAAATCTTATTAATATTACCTCCACTGAAATGGAGTTAACCATCAGCTTTGCTAAGTCATAATTTTAGGTTAAATATATTTTTTTTTCTCTCGTGTATTAGGCCTACATGATTTAATGAATGTATACTAGTAGTTGGCAAGTAAAATCTATTATAAGACGGTTTCAAAAATGTAGCCAATGGAAAATCTGTTTCCAAGTCACGTGTTTATACTTTTTTTCCTCCCATTGTACCTTGCTATAGCTACGCAAGTTTTGTGCAGCACTATGTAAGCTCCGTGCACCGCTCTTGATCCACGGATCTCGATGCATTTAAAGTTTAGACGCGATGTGATGCAAAGGTACACAAATTCATACGGCATAATGATGGATGCGTACACCGAGACGCGCATTATTGTTTTTGGCTCGGGCCACCAAAGCTCCGCCATGTTTACTTTATTTGTCCATGGTTTGGCTGTGCGCACGTGCATTGTATGATGTAATATCATCCAATAAAGCAAATGGCGGCCACTATGATTGTATGACCCTTGGCTTTTTGATTGGGTTTTTAGTCAATTTCTCGACGTATGTATACCAATATTGTAAATCTACGTGTTTTAGCTCGTGCATTGGTGATATGCACTGTACTTGGTTAGGTCACAATGAGACGGAAAATGAACTCGAAAAGTCTCGTTCATTATTCTACTGTGACTTAATCTGCGTGCAGGGCATATTCACTAATTCACTCGCAAACCTGAATAATGTTTTAATCAAACGACCAATCATTCAATCAATAACTGCAATGAATTAAATTGATATCGAGTGAATCCCAAATGTTTAAAGTCAATTACTCACCCTTAAACTGTTGGCTGAGTACGAAGAGTGACACGATTGTGAGCTTTAAATACTGTTTGAAGAGAGTGAACATTTTTAATAAATGATAGAGTATACAAAGCAGGTGTTTTTATTTCATAGACAATTATGATCTGTTTACTATATACGAGGTAGTAGAGTTTTGTAGTAGTAGTAGCATATGTAGAGGGTGTAGTAGTAGTAGTAGTAGTAATAGTAGTAGGGGAAGTATATAAGTAGTAGTATTACAGCCTTTTCACACACAGCTAAAATTCTATAAACATGATTAGTATAAACGTGTTTGAAACGTGTTTAAACTAATCACGAGCCTTTCACACACAGAAATTTCGTTGCGATCGTTAATAGTTTCGTGATTAACTACTGCTCGTAAAATGCGCAGTAGTGCCATTGCGCATTGAAGGTCATGTCATATCAATCAAAGCGCACGCTCCATCCAGTTTAAACACGTTTAAACACGAATTTCCTTTCACACACAAAATGTCAAGCTCTCTAGATACGAACTTCGTATCTGCAGCCTGCTTTTAGGGGCGTATGGATCGCGACTTCGTATCTATCCCAACATCGTATAAACGATGTTCACACTGGGAAATTTTGTCTATAAACATGTTTAAAACTGTTGAGTGATTCTAATCATCTCTAGATACGACGAATTCTAGCTGTGTGTGAAAAGGCTGTTAGTAGTACTACAAGTAGTAGTAACAATACTAAGAGTAGTAATAGAAGTAGTAATACAAGTTGTAGTAGAAGAGGTAGTAGAAGTAGTATTAGAATTAGTAGTAGTAATAGAAATAGTAGTATCAGTATAAGTATAAGTAGTAGTAGTAGTAGTAGTAGTAGAAGTAATATAAGTAGTAGTAGTAGTACTAGTAGTAGTAATAGAAGTAGTAGTAGAAGTATCAGTAGAAGTAGTAGTATAAGTAGTCGTATAAGTAGAAGTAGTAGTAGTAGTAGTAGTAATATAAGTAGTATAGGAGTTTAAGTAGAAGTAGTAGTATAAGTAGTATGAGTAGAAGTAGTAGTACTAATAGTAGTAGTAACAATAGTAAGCGTAGTAATAGAAGTAGTAATACAAGTTGTAGTAGAAGAGGTAGTAGAAGTAGTATTAAAAGTAGTAGTAGTAATAGAAGTAGTAGTATAAGTATAAGTAGAAGTAGTAGTAGTAGTAATAATATAAGTAGTAGAAGTATCAGTAGTACTAGTAGTAGTAGTAACAATAGTAAGAGTAGTAATAGAAGTAGTAATACAAGTTGTAGTAGAATAGGTAGTAGAAGTAGTATTAAAAGTAGTAGTAGTAATAGAAGTAGTAGTATAAGTAGAAGTAGAAGTAGTAGTATAAGTAGTCGTATAAGTAGAAGTAGTAGTAGTAGTAGTAATATAAGTAGTAGTAGTATTAGAAGTACTAGTAGTAGTAGTAACAATAGTAAGAGTACAAATAGAAGTAGTAATACAAGTTGTAGTAGAAGAGGTAGTAGAAGTAGTATTAGAAGTAGTAGTAGTAGTAATAGAAATAGTAGTATAAGTATAAGTAGTAGTAGTAGTAGTAGTAATATAAGTAGTAGTAGGAAAAGTAGTAGTAATAGAAGTAGTAGTAGAAGTA